GGAAACAATCCCTGATACTGTGCCTTTTGGACAGATTGCGTGTGTGGCGTAGTGGTAAAGCTTACAACTCCTATTGTGTCCGCTTACGTAACACTCTAATCCTTTTTCTTATATATATTAAAAACCTCTTTCTATTTAATTTAATCAAATTTCTTTTTTATATTAATGATATTACTCTAACTATTAACTTATCTATATAAAAAAAGAATATCAAATCGTTAAAAAAAGTTACAAAACAAATCTATAAATTCAGTTCAAGAAATACTATTCAATTCAATCTAGTAAAAACAAAACTAATATATTTTTTATTATTTAGATTAACGAAAAACTATTTAATTATATTATTTAATTCAGAAATAATTATATTTCAATTTCTAATTAGATAATTAGGAATATAATTCGATCCAAGCCTTAAATTCAATCAATATATTAATATTCGGATTATATAAGCGAAAGAAGCTTTCTACCAAATGATTTGATTAGTTAATATCGAAAAGGGCCTTAATTCTAAAGCTTTTAAATAGCTATATATAGTATATATAATTAGTATAGCCAACTACAAATTAGTAATTTAATAAAAAGATCAAATCCATTTTAAGAACATAATATAATCACTTCAAAACCCAGCTTTTCGAAAGATATTAGGAATATTCAAAACTACCCCAATCCTTTTAATAGAAGTAAAAGCAAATATAAAGCCTACAAAAATTCAATTAGATTCAAATATTAGATAATATATATTCTATTTAATCAAACTAATATTAAACTATTCAATTAATATCAAAAAAGATATATTAGTTCAATATCAAATTAATTTAAAAATGATTTTTATTTCTCTAAGAAAACAATATAAGCCTATTCAATTAAATAAAATCAGAGAATCAATAAATAAGAATTTCAACCTTTTCTTATTCGAAAAGATTATTTATTTTAACTTCCTCCTATAGAAAAGAGAAATTCCTTTCAGAATTAATATCAGTAATTTGTTAAAAAAAGATATTACTATTTTTTATAATATTGTTTTTAATTATAGGAATAAGGATATTATTTATATTTATATTAATATTTTCTTTATTAAAAAGAGAATAGATATTAGAATAGGTATAATAACTATATAATCAAATAATCAAATTTTATATTAAAAGTAAAGTAATATTAATATTAATCAATTGATATATAATAAAAAGCTTTATAGAATTACAAGAATTATTGAATATATTAACTTAATTACTTATACTAATCAAATTCGATGGTGGAAGGAAAAGAGAGGCCTGATCTCCGAGACATACGATGCATGGAAACCAGCATATGATACCTCGGAACCGGGGAACCTCAAGCTCCTCCACGGGGTACTCTACAGACTCATAGCGATGAGGATTGGATATAATGACTTTGCAGCCTATCATATTAAATTTAATTACGAAAATAGCATGAACACCTGTACATACGGGACTGAGAAAAGCTTATTATATTTCTTTCAATGCCCGATCAATAATCAGATATGCAGCGACTAACCGCTTACACCAAATCATTTTCGATCCGAATGGGATACGATAATATACATCAACCGTATCCTGCAGATACAAAACAGTTTCACTGACCTCCTCACCAGATCCAAATTCTATATTAGGATATACCCAAACTACACAAAATCACGCAAACACCAACTTGCTCCGACACCTCGAGGATGAGCTCTCCACCCCGAACAACCTAAGACCCACACCGACCAGCCATACACACTCCAAGCACACTCCCGATCGATAGCGATCGACCTGATCATCCGCCAACATCCGAATGATATACGAAACAAGATCCTCTAAAAGAGAATCACAAACCCTTAAACAGAACAACCATAAGATCGCCACAAGCAACACTAAGCGAAGGAACACCAGAGGCAACAAACTTCTGATTAGCTAACATTACACTACTATGAGCGGCGGGAACGTCAGCGATCCGTAGGCCCACTCCTTAGTACGTCTAGAATACCCTTCGGGAGGTCAGACATTAGACGTTAATCACTATAAATAAAATAAAATAAAAATATACTAATCAAAAATTCAAAATTTATTTAAATAATCAAATAGATTTATATTATTTAAAGACATTTTCAGATTATCCAAAATAAATATATCAAATAAAAACAATTAAAATAATAAAAGTTATTAAAACTAAAGAAACTAAAATATCTTTAAATTAGATTTCAGGATATATTTCAATTGAAGAAAATGAATTAGCAAATAAATTAGCAAAAGAAGCAATCATAATATAATCTATCTCAAATAAAACAAGCTTTGAATTATTAGATATAATTATCAAAGAATATACTTCAGATTAATAACTTGATATTCTCAACCAATACAAATTCAAATCAAATTAATTCTTATCAACTTACTCAAAACTATTTTTATAGAAAATTGGCTCGAAAATCAAGTTATCAAATAGAATTACTTGAAATATTATTAATATATTCTTTCAACTTAAATTAGATTATGAATATATCAAATTCTATTTATATTGCTTTAAACTTATTAATAACAAATATATTTATTTATTTATTTATTTATAGTGATTAACGTCTAATATCTGACCTCCCAATAACAAATATAGATATAATAATATTGAGATATCTTAATACCTCCTTATTAATTATTCGATATATAAAATAAAAAGAAAAAAGATCTTTAAGAAAATACTATTATTCAAAAATACTATACAATTCCTATTATATACAAAAATAGATATCAAATTAACTATCAAATTTATCAATATTATCAAAATCGCTATAAGGATATAGTATTTAGCAAGGACTCTTGAATAAGAAATAATAGAGAAAGGAATAGTAATAAAAAAAGAAAGAAAAGAAGAGAATGAAAAAGAAATAGTTAAGGAAATAAAAGAGGGATTTGATTTCCTTATAATTTCTTGATTTTCAAAATTTTTTTATTATATATAATATATATAATAAACGGATATTATTCCCTAGTATTTATTTTTACTTTTTCAATTAGATTATATTCAATATTATAAATTAAAAAGTTACTTGTTAGGCCCTTAGGGTCTAGCTGTTCTATATAGTCTTGAACTAAAGATGGACGTTAATAAAATCAATCAATCAATCGATAAGATCGTTGATTAACTTCTCGATGTCGGGAATGATTATACCCATAGGGATTACGATAAGGTTGATATTATTATTAACTTGTTAAATGAGGTTTTTGAGTATAGCATTATCAAACACTTTTTCTAGAAAAACTATCTATAGGCAATTTTTGATCCAGTCGTCGTTAGGATCGATATGAGCAAAGCAGTCTTCTGCCTTTCAGCTTAGTGTATTAGGGTGAACTGTCTTATAGTTAGGATGATATATAATACGAAAGTTGAAGCTAGATAGAAATTCAGTTTATTTAGCTTGTTTTTGATTCAGTATCTTTATTAATATAAAGTACTCTAGATTCTTATAATTAATAATAATTTCAAATGACTTTTGGGTTTTATATAATTCGGATTTCCATTCTTCTAAAAACTTGATAATAGTGTCACGGGGTAACACTAAGCCCTTTCTGTCCTGTCCTGTCCTGCTATATATATAAAAGTAAGGTAAAACTTCCAATTCTATTTCCTAATCTTTTGGGCATTTAGTTCAACAGTAAAGCTTCTAAATACTCCCAAAAATGATCCTATAATATTAAATAAAACTACCTTTGATTATAAGTAAAGCTGTATGGGGAATCCACTTATAACTTACAAGCCTTCATTGGTTTGAGAACTAATATATATAGATCCTGTCTGCCTGTTTGAATACCTAAGGCATTAAAATCCAGAATCCTGAAACCTTCTAATAGATAATGGTATGAAGATTATATCTTAAGGAGGGGGGTAGTATTACAGGATAACATTAAGCCCTTTCTGTCCTGTTCTGTCCTGCTATATATATGAGAGTAAGGTAGAACTTCCAGTTCTACCTTCTAGTCTTTTGGGCGTTTAGCTCAGCGGTAAAGCTTCTGAATATTCCCAGAGGTGATCCTGTGACAGCCTGCCCTGTGATAAGCTTATAAGAATATACTTTTGAATATAAAGATTTATATATTTCAAAAAGCAAATAAAGCATTAAGCAAATATCGATATACAAAAAAAACTCAATTATATTAAAAAGCAATATTTATTGAATAAAAGGCTTTTAATATATTATTTCAATAAGAGGTTGATATTTAGATTCAATATAATGAATATCAAAATAAAAGGAAATCCTAATAGGAAAGCATTTTCTAATAAGTATTGTAGTAAGTGTGGAAAATCAGGTTACAATTTAAGAATTTGTTAAAATAATATAATAGATCTTAGATTATTAGATTCTTAATAGTTTCAATTAATTGATTTAATGGTTGTGAAATAATATGGATTTGAATACGATAATTGAGGTGAAAGTGGCCTATATGATGATATGGCCCACATGATGATAAACCACGTTATACAAATAAACTGAGTGAAATAGTTTTAGTAATCATGGGAATGAGTACTCTCCGAAGGAGTACTAGGATTAATACTGTAGGGTTTATACTATATGGGTGAATTCCGTGACAGCAAATTTTTATAAAAATTTAGAATTTTCAATTTTAACTTCTTTAAATCCTATTTGAAAAATTAAAATAAAATTATTCATTTTTTTATAAGATTTGATTAATTAAATAATATTTTCTAAAAGAATTCCTAATTTTATCTTTTATAATATAAATAAACTAGAACATAAAAAGTTGAATAATCCCATATTTTAGTCAAAAAAGCATTACATATACAATGAGCAGAAACCAGAACTCTTACTTAAAGAAAGATAATCGAATAATAAAATCTTCTATGGGTCAAACCTCAAGTCGAGGTCCGAGCAGATCATCATCACGTGATAACGTCTTCACCTTCTTTTCCAACTCTGCCAGGGCAGAATCACTCTTGCATTCACGCACAATTATCAATCATTTGGGGTTTGCTTCTCACGATCGTAAATTATGGCCACGGTACCTTCTAAAGTAATTCAGGACTTAGTCACTATTCTACGCCACGACTTCACTGTCGAATTGAACGCTTCATTAGCTTCGTTGCCACCTCAAACTTCCACTTTTCTGAAGATACATGCTGAGATCTGCATCGATCCATGTGTGCCACAGGATCAACTTGGAGGGTACAAGCCCCAGCCAATTTATTTAGTAAGATAGATTATCTAGATCACATCTGTTCAATTATTCCATCAGCAATTTTTCTAAAATGAGGCTTAGGGCTCAATTTCTCTAGATCAAACCGAGTCACATGAATATTTAAACCAACAATGCACAATACCTGTGGTTATAGGTCCTTCCCTGTTGCGTGATGATACAATAATGAAGGGGGTCGAATTAGCTAATAAAGTGCCTGAGCTGCCCAGCATTCATCAATCCTCCTCCCTTGAGAAGAGGCGAAAGACCATCGGAGGACTAACGATCAGAAGAGGCGGCTGTGATGAGATGCCAGATGACTCTAGTACATCTTCACAGGCAGGAAATTCGACTGTGAGACAGTTACAGACAGAATCCCGAGTGTTCCCTCAAAGAAAAAAAAGGAATGACCATGGCATTCATCAATTGCAGCCATCCTCGGTTGAAAAGTTTGTTGCTGGAGTATGGAAACAAATATACAGTAACGTCGAGCTTGCACCCATTTTACTGGTATTTCCTCCACCCTCAAATCACCGATTAATATGCTTGAAGTCTAGACTGATGAGTTTAACAGGATAGTGACTGTGTACCAATAATCGCAACCGGAGGGCCTAATATCGAGGTTAGTCTGGTGAGTTAATATCTAGTTCAGCTTCCTGACATTTCAACAGGACGTTCCGAGCCATCAACTCGCTCTGTCTAAAAATCACAACAGTATCACGCCGGTGTCGCTCCTTAGAAACGATCATTCAAGCTCACTGGGTCGACTGCTTTGATTATCGAGTCAAAGAAATCGGAATCCAGAACCCATTTCTATCCAACACAGATACCAAAATGCTTGCTCTCCGGGAGGCCTGTACAATCCTTAAATGGTCAGAAAAAGAGCTGAGGAACAGACTGTGCGTATTACCTGACGTCTACATTTTCATATCCAAGATCGATGATTGCATTATATGTGTGATTACTCACTTGGCACCAATGAATTACCAAATCCTTCGATATTACGAAACAATAACTGACATTTGGCAGAGCAATCTGGCGAGGATACAAAGAAATCAAGGATGCAGGTGGCTGGGCCTGCTTGGCCTTTGCCGGCTCCGGAATTTATCGACTCTGCAAATATCGTGTAGGCTTCGAAAAGAATCTCACAACAAGACTTGAACGACTCCAATCTGGCCTGGAAGTAGCAGCCGATACAATCCATCCAGAATGGCGCAAACTCCTAAAATTCATAGGCATAGAATCTCAATCGGCATATACTGGACATCCACATGACTGGGTTGTCTGCGATACAGCCAAACCTGTTACGCTCAAATCCACATACATGCAGTGGGACCCGGATTTTGAGTTTTCCCACATTGAGGAGTCCGTAATGGATCAAGCTGCTTGGGGTGTTGAAGATCCGCGTATGGTGGAAAATTCTAGTACTGTAACTTGTCGTGATTGCGGACGCTTGCAATCGAACAACTCTTCTGTCAATGAATGCCGTTGTTTTCCAGAGTTATACGGGTGCTGCAAAGCACCTCCTCCTGTACAGGTTTTTCGTACTCCACTGGGAATGAACAACGGGATTATCGCACGTTGTGTAAGTATTTTGCTAGCATAATCTCAACTTATTCAAAGTCCCGCTGACAATACATGCGCCCTAGGAATTTGCTCGCGGTTCGGCAATTGGCGAGTTCGTAGGACTGGTTACTAAGGGAATGGAAGGTAAAGATGTAATGCAAAGCAAAAGCACTGAAAATCAGTACCAAATATACCAAGGACGAATGGGTTTGTTAACCTTTGCCTCAATTCTTTCCTTCTATATCTAATATATTTGTTTCAATAGGTAACTACACGCGCTTTGTTAACCATTCCTGCGCACCGAATAGCCAATTCCAGAAATTTTACTGGCTGGGAACTGAACGTATTGTCTTGGTCTCTAAAAGAATTGAAGCTGGAGAGGAGATAACGGTAGACTACTCACATGAGTATTGGAAGGATCTCGATAAAGATTGTTTGTGTGGAGAGTTATGTTGTCGGTACGCAAGAAGGCGGGCACGTCCATCTGCCACTTGATTTGGTTTACTTCAATCTTCATTACTAGGTATACAAGGATTTAGATTCATTAGAGGTCAAAGTTTAAATATGACACGTGAATTTTTACGGGTTTGATCACATGTTATGTTGATCAAGAGATGCCCTTTCCAATGTTCGTCCGCGAAGGCTTAAGGAAAATCCCACATTTCTTTTTCTCCTCCTTTTTATTCCTACCTTAATTTCATATTCCAAGGATAAATTGGAGTAACCAATTCGCTTCGTCACATGTCTTCCTATCTTCTTTGGTTAATTTAAAAGAGGATAATGAGCTTTATATTTATTCTATTTCCAAAGTCAACGAGAAGGTAAATTAACCCAGGTGCGTGTAGGAGTCTACCACTCCTGAAAAAGTCTGTCTAAAAGTAAATTCTATGTTTATCCTAATCTTATTCCGGCTTTCATGCAAGAGGGAGAAAACTATCGAAGTTCTTTGACCCTTCAACCACTAGAATTATCTATCTCTCACACACTCTTCGGCATCATTCCTAACCTAACGATGACAGCTACCCTCCCTCTATCTTGTTATCCCGCTCATCCTTTCATTATATCTTCCCTCTAAATTATACTCCCCATGCGTCGGTTTCTCGGTAAGCTTCGGTGCACCGCCTAAACTTGCCAGAACGACTTTGTTATTGGCTGTTAGGTCGTCCATGACCTCGAGCTCTGCGACAGTAAAGAAGCGTGGCATTACGGCCCATCGGAAGGGAATGAGAATGCAGACTAGGATTGGAAAGCCTATAGAAAGATTGTTGTTAGTGTGTTGAGTCTCTTGGAGGTCGTGTGATGGAAATATACCAATTGCAGCAATAGTTAGTGAGATTGCTACTGGGGCAGCTACACCAACTATTTGACACAGTAAATAGAGCCAAATCTTGCTCCTTTTGACTCGTAGAAGAGGCTCCCCTTTCTGAATGAAGCGGCGTTCACTGAAGAGAAATAGTAGCTTCTGCGTTATGCCGTTGGTCTCAATTGAACCCCACTATTGGTATTGGATTATGGTTAGATATCTTAAAACAGGAAGGGAAATTTCGAAGTGGAAAGAGTTTGTGTTGAGAGAAGGATGCTTCTTACACCGACAACAAAGAAAACACCACTAAATAGTGCTCGTGGCATCGTGTGCAGCACGATTAGGAGGGGTCCAGTCATGGTGCCAATTATGCCGAGACCCATCAAGAAATGCGAAACGCGCTGCTCAACTACACTCGCGGCTCTGACGATTGGGCGACGGATCTCGTTATCCGAGCCTTCTTCGATAGCAATAATCTTCACTTCGGTTTCGTAGACTGTGAGTGATTCTGTGTGTACAGGTGCCTGCCAATGAGGTCAAAGATTGATGTCTTCAAAGGGTGGAATCTAACTTACTTGTGGCACGAGGCCATTTGGAAGCGGTATACCTAGGATCCCTGCGATAAATGTTGTGCAGCCGAGCAGGAAAAAGTCCCAGTGAAAGCCGCCTGGCTTCTTGAGAGGGAATTGCTTTGCTTGTGCAGTCAGACTACTCACGTTCTATTATAAAAGTCAGCTCTGTGAACCAAGATTCGAGGAACAAACACAAACATGATCGTAATAGAATAAAAGCATAACCAGGAATCCAAAGGGCATAGCTGCAAAGACCCATTTCGCATCGAGATTCCAGAAATCAATAAGCCAATTTCGAGGCTGCGTCGGATAGAAGGAGCGACTGATGGGTAAGACACTGATATTTGCTCTTTTGATTGTTCCTGGAATGTGTGAAAAGCCAACCCAAAAGATGGTAGCAATCTGGAAAGGATATCAGGAAACAACTCAAGGTAAAATCCTTACTGGAACTCACAGGGTATGCATAGTCAGCAAGTATACCTCGAGCCCATGGCTTTGCCAGTGTTCCACGGCCAATTTTCTCCAAGGCATATACGGTGCCAAAATATAGGATTGCAATAACACAGCTCAGATATCCATCCGCGCTTCCGTATGAATCAAACAAGCTGACCAGCTCCTCGACCCCCTTAACTGAATTACCCTCAGCATCAAGTTTAAAAGAGGAAAATGCCGGAAAACTCACTCATATAGATAATGCCGACATACATGCCAAAGGCTTCGCTAGAGAAATCGGTGACATAACGCATGTAATCACAAAGATTCCAGATGGCGACTAGCCAATGCCAAATTGCAGCCCAAATAGCGGTCCATGCCATAAACTGAGGATATATAGAGACATCATACATCTTTATTATGTCGTATATAGTGTAATTGAACAATGAGATCAAACCGGTGATACCAACGATAGTCAATGGCTGAGCGGCAATGGTACTGAACACCATTGCCGCAAGAGCGGATGAGAAAAGTGCTTCGTTGATCCCGTAGAAACCGCCAGTTCGGCGGCTCATATCCAAAGTGTAGGCTAAAGCAGGAAGCAGGCTTTTTTACACTCTGTTAGTATGGATTTCTAAAAGGGGCTGTCTTGGGGGCTCGAACTTTACAAAGTACATTCTCACAGTACTCGCAAAAGTGCGGTAAGTTGCAGCATCTGAAATATCACTTTGGTAGTATGGTAGTCGACGGCGAATATCATGATACATTCCTAGACCAGGACGCAACATTCGGAACCGCCTCCATCCCGTTAAACCATCGAATCGGTAATTGTCCAAATGTTGAGATGAATTCGAGTCTTGTTGCTGTGAATTGAAGCACATTTTCTCTTCGGTGGGTAGCTTTGCGGTCGCTATGTCGCCTGCCGAGCAATCTGGTCCGCTACTCAAAAGGCCGTCGACCGATGTAGCATTAGATCTCTGCATTTTTGAACAATTCCAGTAGATACAATCGAAGCGGAGAAAGTTAGTGTTCGATGAAGTAGGAAGAAAATACTTGGACTGGAAAGAATGATACTTTATAAGTAAAGAAAGACACCTAGGCTTGAGTTATTAGGGGGAAATGGTGAATGCCAAGCCGCTAAGATTTTTACGGGCTCTTCACTACCTAACCCAGATACATCCTCCACCCTCGTACCCTCTATCTTTTGCTACGAGTCACAAATTGATCAGCACTAGATAATCATTAATTACAATTGATTGCACTAAGTTACGTGTTTCGAAAATTAGTGGTTCCGATCCGTGATGGTAGATGGAAATCAGAAAACTACGTAGAAACGTCATTTTTCTGCTTGGGCAGAATGACATACTCGCTTACTGGTGTTCTCAACGGCTGGCTTAAAAAAGCAGAGAACTTGATACAGATTTTGAGCATGTATTATATTGGCCTTCAGAGTATTAACATGCTTACAAGAAGTGTTATTACACCAAGCCCGCATAGAAATTCATTATCTCACCGAAAAAAATCTTAATATGTACCGGTATTTTACTATTGCCAAGCATTTCTTGCACCCAGGCGAGCCGGGCAAGCACCGACCCCAAAAGATACTTTACGATCTACATTACCACTGAGCCTATACGCAATCGCTCAGGAAAATGCGCAGCAACTCGCTTTCGCTCTGGGTGACGACTTACTGTAAATAAGAGTATCAATCGTTTGTAGAATTTACTACAAGGTATAAGAGTCCTACTCTAGGGGTTCTGTATAATGAATTACTGGTTCTTATCATCTTCCTAATGCTGTAAAGTGACGTTCCATACGAACTCTAGTGGGTGGCGCTGTTCGGGAAGACATAGGACAACTGAAATCATAAGGGTGCAACGTTTCTCCACTTTTTGTCTGGAGCCAAATTGATTTCATATATCTTAAATTCCTGAAAAAGAAAGCCATTGCTAGCGAAACACTATGTGACATCTCAATTCTTTAAGCGAGCATGTTGATATTCTAGATAAAGTTCCTGATGGAGTCCGCTTACTCATGAGATGCATTGCTAACCTGATTGAAAAGAAATTATTAATGAAATAATGAGTTAAGGTGGAGTTTAAAAATTGATATGAGAGTATGGGTAAATATTTGTAAGGAAGGTGATGAGAACCTGGCGCTAGACAAATTTTGAGAAAACTCTGAGACAAAATTGAGAAAAGGGGAGTGAATAAAAGGTACGGAAAGAGAAGTGTAGAAGAGAGCCGAAGCAGTAACAAAGCAAAGCCATTGAATTTTGTCGAAGGTAATATCTTGCTTGCTTTATCACTTGCTATACATCATGAATAATCAAACTATTGAAATAATTCCCCGTGAGGTCACTAGCCATTGGATGACGGACAAAAAGAAGGCTTTGCCATTGAAGTACAGGGAAGCCTGAGGCCAGATTTGTCAGGCTACCCCGTGGCCTGCAACCATTACTTGATTGAGAATTTACACAAAGTTCACACCACCATAGAAAGTCGGAACCCAGAGGCTTCATTGAAAGGCATCTTCTTCGGTAACGAGGTTTTTAGTGAGGTCAATGCGGAATCTCTTTAAAATACCTTGGTCTTCTCTACTACGCCTGTTATAAATATCACTCCTCCGTTCACCATTGAACAGTAGCTCTCCGTATATCACAAAATGAAACATGCAACTTTTCAGGAATAAGAGATAACCTTGAGTACATGTATGTGTTGCACTCCTACTGGGATGTTATTTTTCAAACACCAGTGGACATATAAGTTCCGCGGAGACAAAAATCAGTAATGTTTACAAGCATTCCTATCATGATATCCCTCCACCCCTTTACCTCCACGTGAATATCTATGATGACCAAAATCTCTTGTTATTGACAAGATTGTGAATCAAGATGGGTATTCATAGCTTGTTCCTCCGAATTCGCTACTAGCTGGATCGCTGCAATATCTGCATCATAATCTCTCTTTTTTTTTCCTTAGTAAAGATTGAATCGATAAAGGTAGGCCATGACAGAGATGGGAAGGATACATAATACGATCTCAATTATATATCAACGCTATCCAGGTACTCAGTCATAGTCACATACGTGGAATCTTGATTCATTTGTATGTTGAAGACCAAAAAATGTTTACTTGCAATCACATGAAAAATACTTTCTGGGGCAGCGCACATTGATTTTGTGAATGAATACGAGAAGAGGGGACGGATCATTCGTATAATTTCCATGATCTGATGATCACTGACTCCACTGTGAAGTCCTTGCATGTAAAGTAGAAAAGTCAGTCATTCCTTTGATCTGGGGGTTGGTATTAGGAATGCATCGGAGTCTTTCAAACCTTCGATGACAAATGAAGAGAAATCATCCCTACACCAAGCCGGAGATATTTTTAGATCTTATACTACCTCCCTTGACTCATTGAAGATGAGTTCATCGAGAAATATCCTATAGTTCCGTGAATAGTAAGTGATTTGTTGAAACATATCACGATAACCCGTCATCAGTCGTATATGATACTCATTTCCCTGGCGGAAGCATTCCTGTGATTCATCATTGACTGTGTTTGAGATGAGCTCAGCTCTAAGTTAAGCTTTTAGTGAAAAAAATGCGCTTTCTCAGTCTGAGATTCGAAGCCATCGTGATCTCGGAAAAAGGAGAATCTAGGAAAAAGAAAAGAATGTGGTACCCTCATGAACAAAACACAAAGAATGCAGAAAGCTCGGTAAATGAGAGAAGAATGTTTTAATTTCACGAGTTAAGGGATAGCAAACCGGCTTCCTCTATATATATTGCAAGCTTTTCGCTTTGTCTAGTCATCAATCACACAATCCTTGACCTCAATCACACAATTCATATTAAAAGCCATTCACTAGCAGCCCAACTTTCAAAATGCAATTCTACATCCCAGTTGTTTTGGCCTTTCTTGCCGGCAGTACCACTGCGCAAATTAGAAGATGTCCCTTCAATGGAGGCAGTATTCCATTTGGTCAATATGTTTGTTCGGGACCTCGTGTAAACGGATTCCCAGGCAATGGCATTGTAAGTTTTATTCAGTCACAAACAGACTCTGTCTTTACTTGATATATCATCAAATGCTAATGAAAATGTAGTCACAATGTGCTATAAACGGGCAGATTGTGCAGATTGGTAGTGGTCCATGCCCTCATTACTGCAACTACATTTCAGGAATCCCATACTGCTTCTAAAGTAAGAGTTCATTCTCCCCAGACTTGTATTAAAATCTGCTAATTGTTTTCCAGTTTCTTATTGGCTGCAATTCATCAATAGCTTGATGATTAGCAATGGATTCAGCGGATGCTGGGCCTGAACGGGGGGATTATTTTTCTTTCTCAGATTGAAGGTGGAGGATTTCGTTCGTTATAGGACAAGTAAAGTAGGACTATCAACGAAATGTATTTTTTGGTGGATTTGAGTTAATTGGTTTTGGGCAGCTTCTAGATGAATGTTGACTAACTCCCATCTCGCTTGCTATTGCAAATTGCTCGATTAACCATGACATGCGATCCATGAGTGAGCTCTGACAATAACGAGTACTTTGGTTCGACTGAAAAATAGAATTTATAACGTGTTCCGGCATTAAACATTGACACAAATAAGAAAATGTACGAGAGAACCGCTAGTGAGGTCATTTTGGTAGCATTGAATATAAACCTTGGACAATTCACAAAACGAGCGGTGATGATTGTCAAACTTATCATACAGGGTGTAGCGGTAAGTTATGCTGCTTTTCTGTTGATTGGAGTGCATTAAAAGGCACTGAATGTTTTAGAAAAACACTTCGATATTTATTGGTCCTTAAGTAGACACGATAAAATGGACAAATATCTCCACATAATTTTCATTGCTATTCCGCCCCAATGTTTACCGATCAATTTCCAGATAGGACAGTAGGGGTTGCGAACATCCTCTTAAAATCCATCACTGAGTATTCCGAGGCTGAAACACAAAAATACCATATCTCACAAGCATTGAGAATAATAAGAATTTGAATACTTGCAGGTCCCAGATGCACAGCATTGAGAGCCTGTAAATCCAGCTCCACCACATTGGCTGTATAGAGCACCGCACTAAATCACATCGTGTATTAGTAAAAAATCTTTGACATTCTCAAAACAAGATGAAACTTACGGTGCCACCTGGTGATGTTGTAGGAGAAGAAGCAGGAGCCGTGGTAGTAGTTCCGCTCCCATCACCTCCTGTTGAACTTCCGACAGTTATATCGGATGACCCACTGGAGAAGTAACCTTCTGTTGCGACTATCATGTAATCAAAAGTACCCATGTTCATTCCTAGTGCTTTCCAAGCATTGAAATGATTTCCGGTTGTTACGGTACCACCAGTTCGCTTTGATTGTCGAACAGACCAATATTGATAAAAGGTAGCAGTACCAATAATAGATGGTTGGTTGACGCGTTGGGTCTGATAGATTTTATCTGGAAGTTGTTATTATGAGTCACTGTGTGGCTAGGCATGAGACTATTTTGACTTACAAGTTGCTCCGTCACTAACCACGGTACCTTTCAAGGTAGCTCCAGTGCTTGGATCATATGTACCGAAATTCTCGACAACATAGTATTCAATAAGAGGTGATGTTGTCCAACCATAGAGGGAAAGATAACTGTTGCCATTTGGACTGTACGTGCCACTATAGGTGACAGCCCTGAGAGTAATTGAGATGAAGGTCAGCAAATGCAATAGTCATAGTCGTGATGGAAGATCAAGAGAAGATTTGCACCAACCTAGCACTTCCAGGGTTCCAGCCCTTTCCACCAACAAGATTGCCATTTCCTGACCACTGTATTTTGTACTCGCCACCAGCACCATTTGTGTAAGTAACATCTGCGCCACCGTCTGTCCAGAAGGAATAGTAGTATCCGCCTAATCATTAAGGTCAACATAAAGATAGTTGCTAGGGGTAAGAGGGATACGAACCACTGGTTCCAGTGGAGCTAGGTGTCCCACTTCGATCGACGAGTTCAATACTTGAGTTGGCTGGATATGCCAAGACCCTCGTAACAGCAGCAAGAGTAATAAGAAGAGCTTTGTATGAAACCATGATGAATATGAAGACCAATAATTTGATGTTTAAAAGGTTCGAATGGTTGATGTTGAGCCTTGGACTTGATGGGAGAAATTATCTTCCTTTATACATTTTGAAAATCGGCGACGGAGGCGAAGTATCAGCCCAGTCAATACCAAATGTCACTCTATTCATCAATGAACGAATTGGATGATGTGTCGCCCAGTCCATTTGTCCGAGCGAAATTTGACATAGGTGTTATTGCATGTTCCCCGCAAGTGAGAATCATCGACGGTAACCTTTTTGAAGTTTGCTAGTCACAAGATATTAGTGTTTTGGGTACAGCGTCAATCATGCACCCCGCAATGCAGTGAGATGATCAACTCTTACCTATTAAAGTAGATTAGACCCTATAATATGAGGATTGTATTACCTAGGTAGAATTGATAGCAATATCAAGGCTCTTTGGATAAATTAGGCGGGTAAATGCAACTCTGCCATTGCCCGTAAAGCCGACTGTGATTATGGATATTATGTATGCTGAATAGTTCATTGGATTATCTTCTGAAACAGATAAAGAAAGCTAATTGGCATAAGAGGATTTATCAACTCCCTAAAAGAAGAGAGATGTGAGGTAGTTTCTTAATTGCCATGCACTGCCGCCTAGACAAAAACAAGAGATGCGATTAATGAATCACTCATGCCTAATCTTCACCCTGAAGGATAGCATACCATTTGATCATTCTGAGACTCATCATTGGCTTTCCTTTAATCTAGATTGGAGCCTTCATCACGGCTTAGAATCTCTTCATCAAATGCAATGTGTTGAATAAGTGGCAGTATTACAAGAGCTCGTCTTTTTCACCGCGACCATAGAGAGATCGATCTGAAAGTGGGAAAGACATCCTAGGTAGATATATCTCGAAGATTGGCCAATAAGTATCAAGGTTGACTCTCAAATGTGACTTTCCTCTGGCAGTGATAAAGCATCTATTCCCGAACACGACTGTCTGGCATTGACTACAACTCGGCATTTCACAATGCTACGCAGAATACACACAAGATCAGACTTTGGAAGGAGCAATTTCTGAGAAGAGAGAGAGCAGACGGCAGAAGAAGGAGATAGATTAATTGGGAGGTCTTCGCAAATATTCCAAAGCACTCACTATGCTCATGCTCGGGACAACACGCGAGATTCAAAAGTATTTCCATTACTAAGATCTGAGTCGGAGTTGCCCATCCATGATAATTAGTTCGACTAAACGAGTAGAGTCGACTCTCAAGCTGCGTTCTTATCGCTAATGCTCTGCTGCATTTTCAAAAGTCTCAACGTCCCCCCTCAACTTTTTTCCTAGAAGAGCACTTTGTGACAAGGGTGAAATGTTGTGAACGGATCTCGAAGGGATGGACTGAGAATGACCGACACATTGCCGTACTGGTACCTTGAGTCAGGCCAGCTCCTAAGGTAACTTGGAAAAGGAAAATTGATCCAGAACAACCGGGAAAGATGAGGGACAGTTCGCTCCTGACCTAGTGTCTAATATTCTGACAAGCTATGTGACGATCCAAACACTCGCTCAGAAATTGGTAGCCTGTTTAAAGGCCCAAATCACCGAGAGCCTAGTCTCGAATTCAGAATAGTCGAAATTAATCAAAAGTCTGCATGTAGCCGCATTGATCATTCAGGCTCAAGAGATATTATGTCCTTTTCCGGTCACTATACTCAGCCGTTGAATTCTTGAAATTGTTAGTCCATCTAGATTTGGCATATATATCAACCATAGTTTTCAGCTAAGAATGCCGTTCACTGTCCAACAATCGCATCAGAAAGACAGAATATACCGATATTGATTGAATGTGATAGGCCATGCTTTATTCTTAGGTATCAGCTCCAATTAACTCCCCAATGCATATTCCCTTCAACCGAAGAAACAACAACACCAAACCGTCATGAAATCGTAAGAATCGTAACAATCGCTTCTACCAACCCAATAATTTTGCCTGGTTTTGCAGTTTCCATCTATTACATCCCTTCCAAAAACGCCATACCAGTCATGTTCGTAAAAGTTTTCATCATTATACAATGATCTCCTCTTCGCTCGTTTCCGTCGTATTCCCATCACTGGCCTCCAATACTTCGTCATGTCGTCCAAGGTCTGCCTTTCCCAACATACCATTCTCTACTTCACAAATGCCATCCAGCCCATTCGTTAGTTTCGCAGATGTTGATTCGGCCTCAATAGCACTTCGTTCTCTGCGTGCTCGTTCCCTTTCCATTCTGCCTGCTTTGGCATCTTTCATCGAAATCCTGTTACCACTCACCCGACCAAATATCCACATTTGTATGACTACCATGACAGCTGTATATCTCCAACACAACGCATCATCTTCATGCATATCAAGTGCCCATTGCGAACCTGGTAGTGGACCAAGACTTTCGAAGATCGGATGTGGAGATGTCGACATTGTCGGAGGAGGTGGTAAGAGATGTGAAACGAAGGTATTTATGAGGTGTAATACGAAGGCGGGGTTGAGTAATATCCCGGGTATGAGATAAGTCGTCGAAAGGAACGTCATCTTGAGTTCGAAAATGGAGGGAGAGGCTCTAATTTGGAGAAGTCAGTAAATGAGTTCTCTCAGAAGGAACCGGATAAATATACGTTTTGCGACCACTCGTATTGGAAGCCCCACGCGCACTCAAGTACCTCTTCTTGGCTTGAAGTGCTCAAAAATGGGAAATGCGTCGTCGTTATACAATATCAGAATCCAATGACGAAGCAAAAGCAAAGAATTTTCGGGTTGTGCAAGGGGGAGCTGAATGAGTTCAATGTACTCCGTCGTTTTGGGAGAGGATATTGAAGGGATGTAGCAGATCTTTCGATGTTTGCGAAGTGTGTAACTGGAAAGTTTGGCTTTTCTACCCCTCTATCCCAAGATCAAGAGGGAATTGACGATATGTGAATAGGCGACAATAAAGGTATTGTGTAGAAGTATTTTGTATTCTCATCCGTGTGAATAAAATCAACAAAATCTAACCGGAGTGTAAGAATGATTTTGGAATTAATACAATATCTAGGGAAGAAAATGAATGAATGAATGAGTGGATGGAAGAGAAGAGAAGGGAAGAAGATTGAAGTGTTGTACAATTGATAGAGATAAGTCAATTGTACTAGGTAAAGTGCGTAGTATCTGTTTCTTGTTTTCGAATCAAGGAAAGGACATACCTACCTATACTCTATATATATATATATAAAACCTTATATATGTACAACTTTTGAGATTTGAGGACTTTCCTTCAAAAAGCTTGTAGACTTTAGATAGAAGGAAGGGAGGAAGAGAATAACTGAATTGGATGTATACATGTGCAAGGGAAAGATAGTAGGTAGGTATCCAATGCTCGAGGTGGGTAGCATGGAAGTGTGTACTGGCCAATTTCCAAGGAGAGATCAACTCATAGTAATAACCTTGGAATACTAGGGAAGTACCCAAGTATATAGATACAATTGAGATCAATCGTTTTTTTCTCCCGTTGCACCTACCTCTCGTAATCTATTGTCTTGTCGTTTGTACATACGACAGTACCAGTAGTACCTAATCTACTAATATAAAATGAATCAATTGTGGGATTTGATGCATACTCGTATTTTAAGGTGCGCCAGTGGATAATGAGACCTTAGTAATAACATGTGGTTTGTACGAAGAAAGGTTATGAACCGAGGTTTGCTCGATACGCGGATTGAGTCTGGTATTCCATGTACAGGTTCTTCCCGGTATTGCTTGCTTGTCTGTCGGTGTTACCTAATGAGTAGGTAGTATGGTTTGATTGTATACTCCGTATGCTGTCGTTGTACACGTTGTCGTTGCATATGTTGTCATTGCTCGAATAGCCTCAACTTTGTCAAATCTGTCAAATTGAAAGACCCCTCATGTTCAGGATTTTCGTCTGATCGATCGGACTACAAGTAGAAACTAAGGCGCCTAGGGTACACGGACGGACCTAGGTAAACTTCGTCCAAGTCTAAAGAATACCTAGTGGCAAAGTTTAAAAAATCATTGCTCAGCCTTGTCTTCAGCCTTATATTACTCTAGCCACATTCCGAACTCAATCAGCACCGCCACATCGAAAGAATTCGAGTAGCTGGAGCCCTGGAGCCACGTTTAACTTTCAAATAAGGCTACTAGTTTCATCATTATTGAAACTGCGCAACTGTAACTCGAAAAGCGCATCACGCACTTCTTTTGACTACCTAGGTACAGTCAGTTACTTTCAAGGGCCTTCATCATGGTATGTATATGTATATGTATTTCTCGATTGCCTTCAGAATCCCAATCTAACAACCATAGAACACTCTCTTCAATACCGCACTCAAACAATCCACCTCCCTCCGCCGAGATCTTTCCTCGCTTTCTCCACCCGAATCGCAACCCCTCACTCCATCTCTACTTGGTCAAATATCTTCATCTCTAACCTCCTTTTCAAGAACTCTTGATTCTTACGCTTCCCTTCAATCGGCCGAACTCAATCCTTCCAAAAAGGAAAAGGCCTATGAACGATTAACTACATTCCGTTCTGAACTACACGATTATCGCTCCCAGTTTGCAACTCTCAAATCGCAAAATGAAGATCATCAAACACAGATAGATAGGAGTGAATTACTTGGAAGAAGACCACATCATGCATCAACACCCGAAAATCCTTATGCAAATACAACAAGTGCGACCGCTGCTCGGGATAGTCCATGGAGACGAGAGGGTGGACCCGGTGGAAGTCAACTTTCTATGAATAGTGGGGATTATACAAGAGAAACGCATGCTTTACGCGAACAATCATTCTTTCAAAATACCCATAGTGCGTTGGATGAATACCTAGCTCGCGGACAAGCAGTTTTAGGTGATTTGGGACAACAGAGAGAAATGTTAAAAGGGACACAAAAACGATTGTACAGTGTGGCAAATACCTTGGGCGTATCTGGCGATACGATCCGCATGATTGAGAGACGTGCGAAGCAGGACAAATGGATTTTTGGAATTGGGGTGGTGATATTTTTTGCCTTTTGTTGGGCCGTCTTACACTTCCTGAGGTAACGTATTGAGTGAAATCAGGTCATCCTTGGTACGGGAAGAGCCATCTTGATAGTTATGAATCTAGGTTTGGGAGTGTGTATGAATATTTGGCAACTGTTGTTTTCTTGGTAATATAAGCGTGGAGTCTGGAGTATGGTTCGGCACAAAAAGGGGCGGCTGTTCGTGCGACACTGAGCGCCGAGAATTTACATCTAGGAATCTAAACATTATTCATTAATGTTCATCGAAGTATGCGGACTATTTCCATTCGACTCTCTGTGCATCTTCAAAACTTAATTGTCTATTTCGACCTTTTGATCCTCCTTTGCATCTTTTGATCATCCCCGACATCCCCGGCACATGCCACACTATCACCATGAAGCTCTCCAGTGACATCAAAAGACCAAATGAAGATCGTTTTTCTCGAATCAGCTCCCAATCATGCATTCCGGAATGATAGCATCAGGGTTTGATTTCATGGCTTTGCTTCCTCGCTTGCCAGTGGAAGATGATAGGATTTCACTGTGCATGACCGTACATGCACAAAATTTGACTCGTAATCTTAACAAATCCTTACCTCTTTGCAAATTTACTATCTCTCTTGAGAAGTGTTTTTGATTTCGTTGTTCCTGATGGAAGACTCATAAATGGATTAGACTTCTGGTAAGCAAGTGCTGCATACATGACTGACATGACCTCATTGTTCATATATATCTACATGGCATGGCTAAAAGCTGTCATCTAAAGTTCTCATCGTCCTGTTGTAATTTTCACTAATTCAATACTTCTTCCGTGTATTAACTCGGGAGTTCATAAAGACCGATCTTTTCCCCTACGAGATGTCAAGGTTTTCATTGGTTCTCTTGTTCAAGGATGAATTTCTCGCTTCCAAACTGTCGGGTCTCCTTTTCCGCACCTACTCTTTTAGGAATCCTCCTTGTAGAGACAACAAATCACACCTCATCAAACCCCAGCTGTTTGACCTGACTCCAATAGCTAAACTCCATTCATCTATTGTCTCATCTCATGATTCGGGTATTACCAACGGCTCCTCGTCAGCCTGTTTTTGCACTTCACAATCACTGCAGAATTTAGCCCCTAATACCAAACTGCCGGATTTTGAGTGCAGAATGCTTATCGGTAAGCGCTTTCCTGGTCGGAGCACCTGTAAGCTAGCCAGTTACAACAATTGATGGGCTCTCAGAATCAAGTCTCTAATCCTCTTGCATGTGGATAAATAGCCTTGTCATGCTTGGATTATTCCCGGGCGGTAAACTCAATCAGATGCAATCACTAAGTCCAGTCTTTGCTACAGTCTCTTTCAGTCATGCGTGGACATCTGTTTTACCTTGATCATACAGAAGTTTAGGCGCTGGTGGAGTAAAAGTAATGTTTCGGGCAATTCAATAAACCTATCATAAATCAGGCGGCTTCAACAAAATGCGGGTTAAGTTCATAAACATATCATACGAGCCGCAATTCGCCAATTGAAGTCTCACTAGCTTTTGCTCGCGGGAATGAGGCAAGATATAACTATGAGCGAAGGAACTTGTTACACCAAGAATGCAATGTTCATCAGCAGGGCAAGCATCACTCCAGCTTAAAACAATATCTCGAAAGCTCGCAAGTCTCCGCTTTCCCAAACATCAACGGCATTCAGATCAACCGGAGTTATCATCGAAAATTCACCGACGTTACAACTTGTGGCCAGTTATTATTGATTACTCACTCGGAGGTGAAGTCCGAGGAAAGCTAGTGACTACTTTGTCGCGACAAGAAACAGTTTTAAGAGACTGTATTCCGCAAATCGGTATGCTTTCTTTTACCATAGCTCTAAAACTTCCTCCTTTTTAACTTCATCTAATCAGGCGCCTATTTTCGGGTCAGGTTTTTGAATCCACTCGAACCTTTCACCTTTCTGGCACAAAATGACGTCTCACATACTCCGAAACACTCGATTATACACTCGCCAGCTCAATGAGCAGGAGATGGATATACTCGCAGCCTGGCTCGAGACACTCGATCCGGTTAATCCCGGTGAAGAAGCAGCTGAGATCACTGTCGTGTTACACCACTCTTTAAGACAGAACAATAGAGCCAACGCGTCATCCGGCAATCACAAAACTCCACCACAAATCTCTGCTACTTTTACTCCACCTCATCATCCTAAATCTCATACAGGATCACAAAATGGATTTGGCAACAACTCTACTAGCTATGCAGCGACGACGAGATCTGAAGGTAACAGTTCTCCTGATTGGAAGTCCAACTCCCGACAGATCAAAAGCTTCAGACCCCCTCCAATTTTTATACCTGGAATGCCAAACTTGCCACAAGTGAAAACATACAACAACACGGATAGTATTGATGAACGAATCTCTCCAGAGATGGCCAGAATGAAGAATTATGGTACGACTCCTGTAACGGCCATTCGTACACACTGCCCCCCATCAGTGTTATCGAACGATATGACAAAGAACGGGGTACAAAGCGTTTCGAACAGTTCTGATCCTCCAACACGTCAGAATGAAAGGTTAGACTCTAGAGTGGCAAATTGGATAAGAAATACGTCTTCAAATTCTTCTTATCTCGGACATCAATCTCAAAAGAATCCCTCCAAGGGTACTTCTACCTTACCAGCCAAGCTTCTTGATCCTGCAAATGATCCTGCAATTCTAGCATTAATGACGGCAGTTGTTGAAGAGAAAAAGGTTGAAGAGGCTAGAACGTCCCCGCGTCTAATGGGGAGTTCGGAACGTGTTATCTATGCCTCTTCAAACTCAAGTTCGAGCTCTCGGGATCGAAGAGTACCCTCTAGTAGTCGACCGAGAGGGTACCCATATCTCAAAAGCGACCTGCATCGAGATACTGGCAGACTCGGAATGTATCAATCCGATCTACCATTGACGTACTCTCATATTTAGCCATGCTATCAAAGGAATCTTGTGTCGACATCTTGCTTCATCATAAGACAATTTTTAAATGAATCTTACGCAAGTTCACAATTTGCGCGTTCCATACACAGCATCAATACAGGAATATCTGTAGATCGGCATACTAGGAATATCCATGGGCTCGCTCTTAGTTCATCGCCACTTGTGATAACATCGGTTGTCTCCCGGAAGATTCTGTCGATAATTCCACGGCCAGCTTCCTGCATGCTGGCACAACCTTCTCGCAAAATCAAGCTTCTCATGATTTCGTTCAAACAAAGGTATCTGGATATGACCTTGAAAAAAAGAACTGAATTGTAGACCGGTACAAGTTCTTATCAGAGAAGACACAAGCTCTAATTAATTTACTTGCTGCGGGAGGTTTGACGGTGTATTATTTGCTGTGCAATAAAATATAAGCGTTGGGATAGTTACGTTTTTTATCTTGTATATTTTTTTGTGTATTTAACAAGTCTATCTGAATTTAATTTAATATCATCCATCATTTCGTATGCCATGTATAATGTACATAATTTTGGCTGAGTTTCTTTGTGAACGTTGAGTTAAGGCAGGGTTCCTCACGCTCAACGCCTAAATAATTTGATTAGCCGAATAAGGATCGTAGCTATTAACGTTGAGAATGATTATTATAGGTACCAAGTGTTTGATCAATTTAGCTTCAATTAGGGAGAGCATCTTTCTCGCAGTGCCAGTGAACTAGAGTCAGAGAAAAATTGGATGACTGGTTGACACTAGAAGTGACAATGAGAGGATCGAGTGAAAACAGCATGAAAAAGGTCTTTCTATCACCACAAGTATCACTTGTAAATTGCTGTGTTCTGGGAAAAAGTGATCAATTCTTGATCCTAAGTTAAAATGTACCAAATCTGGAATGGGAACCTTTACAAATACTATCGATCTTCCTTTTTGCTTGCCATTCTACGAGCTAGAGAGGATATCATCGAGCATCAATTGTGCTATCACACTCAGCCAAATGCGGAGCCTGAACAATCACTTTGAGTTGTATACCATCGGACGCGCGGGTATCTCCAGCTGTCATGTCCTGTCTTTCGTCTCCCCATCTTTTATCTGTTCACACGCGTAATTTTATGATTCTCAACAAAATTGAGGAAGCAGATGAGCTATAAGAATGAAAATTTCAACCCCACACAAAAAAGAATTGGGTCTGGGGAAATCGTGGCTTTCTCCTGAATTAAGTTCCGGCCAATGAGTGAGGGACGCTTGATACAAGCTTAAATTTAGGACTTCGCTAGTCATTACGTTTGACAGATGAGTGAAAGGGCGAGGAATTCGCAAGGACGTTCTATCATGAATAATCTAATCATAAAATAATACTCAAAGTACTTGAAACGTACAATCCAAGTGAAAATTGACGAATGGCAACTCTCGAATTGATGTTCCTTGGCTCGACATGTTCCAACTGACTAGTCATCGCAGCGTAGAAGTTAAAGGGACTAAAGCGAATTAAGAAGCACTAGCTCGAACCATAACATCATGAATTATCTGAGTAGATCTTTAGACCTAATCCATGCCAAGGAAGGTGTGATTGAGGGCAGTTCAGATAGGAATTCCTAGAACATAAATAAATATTCCCCATACCTCAAGTGTCTTTGTTCAGAACAATCCGAAAGACCTAGACTTAAGAAGCAACATCATTAATCTTCAAGACTCCATCCAATACGATTACCGAGAACCAAGCAATGGACAATCAAAATACATCTAGGGATACTTCGTCTACCGAAGAAATAGTTTATAAACCTATGCAATGGCGAAATTTGGCTTATACTCCGGCTACTTCAGCTCCTTCTTTGACAGCAAATACTGGTGAGTTTGAAGTTTAACTTTATCTTCGTATTATCCCCTCTGTCGTTCCACATCAAGCTGTTGATTGAACCTATACATGTCATTCTCTGTCTTTTATAAATTCAATCATACCATTTTACTCTAATTTTGCAGATGTTTGTGGAATAGACTTGCTGACTTCTCAACATCGTAGGCGCGAACCAGTTGTCGCTTAACTTTGGCAGTTTCGACTCAGCATCCAAACCCCAACTCTGAAAGGAACAACTCGACGCTGCCCCCAAAGACAGGCTGAACTGCATCGAGGTTCGCATCTCACTACCTTCAAGCAAGGTCGTCTCATTGAAGAATCATTCTGCGAAAAATATAGACCTCTTAAAGTTATTGGTAAAGGCGGTTTTGGACTTGTATATTCCATTGAGGAGAAAGCTACAGACAAGTTATTTGCCGTCAAGATGGAATTGAACCATACAGAAAATGCATCTCTTCAACGAGAGTGGAATTTGCACAAGAAGTTGAATCACCCATCGATACTTCGTGTTCATGATTTCTACGCATGTATAGGTGACGGTCCCGGAATGGTGATGGATTTGGGGGAGAAGACTATGTCCGATATGGTTCACGAGCAAGGATACACCGAAGAGACTCGAATGAAGATGTACTTCATGGACATTTTATTGGGGTTTGAATACTTGGTAGGAACACCGACTCAAGAAAGCCAATCCGGAAGTCGAAAAGAGTGTGCTAATTACATTTATAGAAATCTAAAAATATCTTGCATCGCGATATAAAGCCAGGAAATATGATCCTTGGGTGCGGCTCGGGTGGTCGTGTGATGATAGCAGACTTCGGCTTGGCAGACCATTTGGTAGGTGGCGAAAGAAACAGGAAAACCTCAAGGTGGGCATAATATACGATACAAACTCTCAAATATTATTTGCTAACTTTGTCACAGAAAAGGAACAATGACTTGTAAGTTCTCATCCTATCCCATCTGAAATTGATATTTGAGAAGATATCAATATTTGAAGGCACATTGGTGGTCCTAGTGGATCAAAGATTTCAGTTTGATACTACCCCTATTTAAAGAGAGTCAGAACCATCGAAACCCTACCCTAATCCCAGTACCTCTGTACGAGTTGGTTACCAACTGGGGCACTACACTTGCTATCGGTTCATTTACTAACTTATCAAGATATGGCACCGGAATGCTTCAGGAAGAGTCTTCATATTACTGGTTTAGGATTCGAGGTAGACATTTGGGCGGCAGGGGTCTCCCTTTTTCAATGCCTACTGGGCTATCATCCTTTTGATTCCGCTGAGCCAGCGGATGATGAGAAACAGCGGAGGAGAAACACGATATTGATGATCATAAACCCCAAAGCGTCTCTCGATTTCGAGAGCGGTCCGCTGCGTCAACCTATCAGTCAAGAAGTAGCAGATCTTTTGGTGGGAATGTTGGAAATAAACTTTGAAAAAAGATTGACAGTTGAGGACTGTCTTGAACACGAGTGGATGTCCGGATAATTTCACTTGCATGTTACATAATACAATTTGAAGAGCATATGGCTAGGCTATCGGCGTTAAAAGATATCATTTGGAAACAATAAAAAGGCCTCATTAAAGACTGGTAGATTGTGCTCGATTCTCCATATGATTTTCAACAGCTTTGAGTTTTGAACCTTACATCGTAACAACTGCAGAGAGTTGCCGCACTCGAACTGTTCATATTGGGGCTTGATATTTATACTGATATGTTATCCTAGGTAGGGCTGATGACCCTCAAGTACTATGAGTAGCTAGCTACCTGTAGTGCTAGCCATACTTCAAAGTTGGAAGATACTCTCGTACATGGCCCGTGGGTTTATGGTGCAAAGACAGTAGTGTAGAATACTGTGCAAATGGATAAGTTTTGAAATATATGGGTAGGATCCTCTCAACCGATTGCAATAGTAAATCGGGAGCATTGTGAAAAGTTTTTACCACTCAACTATGAAGACGGGTGGAACTGAAATCTGAGTGACCCGGATGAAACTCAACCATTATGCTGCAAACCATGAAATTCGTAACCGATCCTCTCATGTACCATAACACACAAAGGCAATGATGAATGTGCATCGCACTCAGCTAATCATGTTCCACTTCAGATGATATATCATATGGGGAAAGTCGCAAATATGACTCAAATCGTGAGACAGGAAAGGCGAATTGGAGTGTTGAATTCTATCAGAAGACACTTAAACCCCGATACTTTTGAGAAGCTCTTCTTCAGATTAGTCCACTAGGAAGTAAATTGCTCTTCATAGACTGCAATAAAGAAGTTACTTTTGATAGTCAATATGCCATCTCGTTGGTCCCATGTCTACAATATGAAAGAGGTACGGAGTTTGGCTTATGATGAACAGAACTAAAATCATAATCAAGTGCCATGATTTCAAAACATAGATATGAAAATTTTCATATATAGATTGCTAATCCACTTCATCTACCATTTCTCATGAGATGTGTCATCTGTCTTGAGCTGGAAGCATGGATAGAAATTCTCAATTGCTTAGGACAACGAAGGAGAGAACAACAATAATCATACCGAAAGTTCTTAGGCTATACCAAGTATTAGAGTCAAAAGACGCACCAACTCGGCCCAGACCGTGATCAAATAAAATCTATCATATTCCAAGGCTGTTAGATATACATCCAAATGGATTGCTGACAGGTTATTATTCATGATCCGATTCTTTTGGGTGATATTGACCAGCCAGGAGATGATTTTGTTCCTACTTGTATATTTGAAAAGGGGTTTGGAATAAGGAGGGTCGAAATTAGGAAAGCGAAAAGATATCAATAAGAGATTGTTCATGGGCTTCTTGGGTTCTTCTGAATCGAATCAGAAGGCCAACCAAAAGGTTTTATTTTGCGATTGTAAAGTTGTCCAGTGCCAGCTATCTGGCAGTCACTTCTTCCATGTATACGTATATACATATATATACACACCAGATGACTGGAAGCAGAATATCAGTAACGATGATCTGTATCGCTGTTGGATTATCACTCACTACCTCATCACTGCACATACGGCTGTCGCATTCTGATTGTCAACACGGAAAGTATACTATGTTCACCTGTGGATAGTGTGTTTATCCATATATTTGATGTCCTCGTAAAGAGTTGTGCTTCTTCAAAGTTTTCATCGCCTAACATCGTAGCTTGTTCAATCTCTTCACAATCTGATAACGTCTATAATCACGCGAGCATTCTCTTCAACACGTGACTCGTGGTGGTGACCTAAGTTCTGGGTGTATTCCACACTATTATGATTGAAAAATATTAACTGTTAAGAGGTCTACCCGTTATACCCATTGGTTGACTGATTAATGAAAACGATAAGAATTGGTACCTACACCTAGTGTCCTATTTACTAAAGGGTTCTACGCGACCGTAAGCCTGAAGGCACTATAAAATTTGCGAAAATGAAAAGTGAGTATTTCTCCTAGATCCTAACGACAAATGGGAAGGATTTTCGTTCGACCCTTCCTTCTGAACCACTCAATTATAATATGGTAACTCTATTGATCTCAGGTCTTCTCTGAGATTTATCCCCAATCACTCCAGTTTTCCACTGAAGTCAACATAGCCTTTTCCAGCCACGAAAGTGGCATCCCAAGTCAAAGGCTACTCACTCGTCGCCAATTCATAGTAGAATTCTCCATGTGCTTCGTCATCAATTGCGTTGCCTTTAGGCCCTCCCTCTGCCGTCCGTTCGTCCGCCCAATAAACCTTTGATATGTTAATCCAAATTCACAATACCGTTTGATTTTCACGCCCCTATATCCATCTTCTTATACACTTTGAAGCACTTTGGATAAGATGAGCTGCGCCAGACTTTCCAATGCCAAACGCAAGTAACGATGGGATGACTTGACGATTCAGTATATTTTCCGGTGTAAATAAATGTCTTGTTAGTAGCTTCAGGAAGAGTTTTGAATCCCTCTACAGCCCTCATGTGCAGCAGCATATGCTGAAGTAATGACTACATTGAGGTCTTCATTGAACTTTCCAATGGCACAGAGAGAGGATCAGGAGTGACTGTCAACGCTGCGGCTTTTCTATTCATCACTAGGTGTCATTGATTTGGCTTCGGTGTGTTCAAGATTTCAGACTGCATAACAATCTTGTATGAATCCATCATATGAAGCAACTTAAAAAGTTTTTATCGTTTCGAACAATCGAGTTGTAGTCCGGATCATCAAGACCCCGATCCTAGAATAGAAAGACTAACCATTATATACAACAACATTTGGAACTCCCAAGTTCTGTCTCACTTCATCAAAGATGCGTTTGATGCTTTTGGGATCAGTGAAATCGGCTTGGAGGGAAAGATCAGTCGCCTTGATGAGCTCTTCTTTAGGATTTCGTGATACAACCACGGTCTTGTATGATCCTTTCGATGGGAAAACACGAGCGATATTGAGTCCAACATTGGGTCCACCGCCAAGAATAAGGGCAATTTTTGACATGACTCAAGAATGGTTTGATGTTAATACGGGATGTTTATATCACAGGGATGTCCTAAATCCCAGAAGTGAATATCCAAGAAGGACCTGACATGAGACTTATTGAACTGTTGTAAGACTTCTTCGGGTGCTCTTCCAAGTTGATGGAGATAGATCTGTGTGTATATACAACATCACGAACTGCTTAGAAATATATTTGCTTACGAACCATCATTCAACAATGTCGTGCTTAGAAATGGATATTTCCCCATAGTGTATGATTGATGTTACTGAAAGTAGTCAATGGTGATCTTATTGGCTGAGAAGGGGAGCATTTGTTGATCAGATATCCTTGTGGCTCGATATTACCATAGAAAAGTCGTTTCCTCGTTCCATAATTATATAGATAAGTTCCCATGTATTGATTGGTACCGGCGGATTCAGACTGTTAATTTGCATGTGGTGGCTTGTGGCTTGTTTTTCAATTATAAATTCAAATTGATGACACAATCCAACTTATTAATCCTGGCACTCGCCATGAATTTCTTTTTAACAGGTATTGTGGAGGGTCTCAACACGTTCTGAAGAGAATAAACAAGAACACGGAATAAATCAAGCGAGGGGAAGAAGGGGTACCTAGTGGTTCAGAAGAGAGGGTTTGAACAACATGAGGAAGTGAATTTGGAATATTCTGCCACGACGGAATGATTCACCGCTTTTCAAACGTACTAGATCATTACTCGCCACAAACAACGAATAGGACATCGCCACACCTAATGGAGGTCTTCTCTTTATCCGCTATTCGAGCACTTCTTAAAGATTTTTTATATAAAAGCTACACAGTAGATACACCTTTACAGCTTTGAATCTTCTTAAAGTCTATACTTTTCAAACTCAGGCTGATTATCTGTTCATGCCTATCCAAGTAAATATGACTCAACCGAGAGTTTACCATCATTCTGTCTTACATTTTCCATTTTTACTTCGTTTCCTTGTTCGTGTGGCCTCGCAGTGGAACATAGCCGCGGTTTCCAACGTGATGTATAATTGTTGATTGGCCACACAAAATCGTAAGTTCATCAATATGCGGGGCAAAAGGTAAAGCTTTCAGTTGCCTGACATCCACTGATACCCTAAATTCTACCAAAATATGAACATCGGACGTCAAAATTGAGCGTCGGGCGATAGAACGGAATATAAGGATCTGAGGGAAGAAGCAACTTTTCGTTTCTGTTCATCCTTTTTTTCCATCTCTACTCTTCATCAAAAGCGACTATTAACATCTGATTATCGCACTCTCCTCATTACCCGTGAAATTTTCTGTAGCTGAATGCCCAGCGGAATCCCCACTCTACAACTGGTTAACACGCGTCGACAACAAACCCAGAAAATTGGGTAAAAATGTCAAGCAAACAAGAATTCCGTGTTCGAGATTTAAGCACTCGAAGTGTTTTGATCTTTCCAACTAGAGCTCAGATTGTTCGTGATATCAGAGATATCACATTACAGGTAAGAAATGTGAATACATATCGTGGTTCGTTGTGCTGACGGAGTTTAGACCGGAACCAATCAAATCATCATCGATGGACTTGCTCCAACCATTGATGAACACTCCATCAAGGTTGAAGGAAATGGTTCCGCCACCATCACTGAGGTATCTGTTGATCTTCTACCTAATCGTGATGTTTACGAAGAAGTTTATTCATCCGACTCTGAGCTTGAGGAAGAAACAGATGATGATTCCTCGGACTCTGAAGATGAATCGATGAAGCTTGTCGATACCAAAATCAAGCAAGTGAACCGTTTGCTCGCCCAAGAAACCGAAAAGATTAATTCTGTTGCGAGTCGTCTGCAGATTTGTGAGGATTATGGTGCTACAGTTCGCGATAATCCCCCATCGCCCGAACAGTTCGAGAAACTCATCAAAGCATATCGCGATGAACGTGAGAAGATTTATGTTGAACACGTAGCTGCAACTGCTGCTTTGGAAGTTACGCAGGATGAAATCGTTAGATTGATGAAAGAGAAAAGCAAATTAACAAAAGCACGAACGAAGGCACAACGGAGAGCATTCAAGCAAAAGGTTAAGCTTCAAGCGACCAGATCTCGAAAGAATGCCGAGTCGGCAAAGGAAAAATTACGTATCAAGTCAGAGAGAAGTTTGTTCTGGCCAAAGAAAGTTTATCGCGTTACTATCAGTATCGAGCCTACGAGCTCTGCCATGACATCTGGATCATCCCGTCCTAGCTCGGTAGCTAGTGACATGACCGTCAACAACTACCAAGTCTCTAGCCGTCGAGCTACGGATATCATCAGCCTCTCCATTTCTTACATTACCTATGAAGTGTCGTGGTCTCCACGCTACGATCTCAGCCTTAACACCTTGACTAGCACGGGTGTATTAGAATATGCGGCCGAGCTAAAGAACATGACTTCAGAAACGTGGCGCGATGCCAAAGTTCTTCTCTCAACTTCTCAAACATCCATCACTAGTTTTAATGAATCGATACCAACCTTACCCCCATGGAACGTGCGACTACTGAAAGGGGGGAGTAGAAACGCCGAAGCCGCTCTTTTCAGTACCAGTGAAATTGCGGCCAAGAGAACGGAATGGGCTGATAAAAATAATCAACATCTCCAGCAACCTCGATATCTCCTCTTCGGATTCGAGCCAACTAACAATATATTCGCAAACAAAGGTAGATTCCCGAGTAACAATTTGTTTGGCAACGCGCCAGCCCACCATAAACAAAATTTGTTTCCACCAGTTGCGGGATTCGGATCTACTGCACCATCTCAAGGGCCCAGCACCGGTGCTATTTTTGGATCTAATTTATCGTCCCAGAATCCTGCCCCTACTGGTGGCTTATTTGGGGCCCCTGCCCCATCCCAAAATCCCGTCACCAGCGGTGGTTTATTTGGTGGCTTGCGTACATCTACAGCCAACAACTCTGAGTCTGTTGCCGAGAACTCTGCCAATCAACCAGCTCACGGTAACCCTCTCCTTAGTAGCGTCCAGCCTCTCATACATTCAGAGCATAGCGCCAATATTTCCGCGCCTGGATCAGATATAGGTGATCCTACCGGCACCTTCGAAACACCTCTAATTCAACGTCTTCTTTCACCAAAACCCACCCTTACATTCGAAGAAGGAGCTTGGGAGGAGTCCGGCATGTCTACCACCTATGATCTCCCTGGCCTTAAAACTCTCATGCCTTCAAACTCTGTCCTCAAGCACAAGATTGCGAAAATTGAGTTTAAGAATATTGGATTTGAACACGTGGTTATACCTAAGCTTCGGACGGTTGCATTTCTTAAGGCCAAATTACGAAATTCATCGAAAATTCCATTGTTAGCAGGCCCAGTGGGATTAAATTTGGATGGCAGCTTTCTGGGTCAAGCTACCTTCCCAAGATGTTCTGTTGGCGAAAGCCTGAGTTTGAATCTTGGTGTTGATCCAGCTATCAAGGTCGTGTATAACAAGCCCGAGGTACGACGTTCGCAGAGCGGAATCTTCTCAAAAGAAGACAGCAACGTCTTCTTACGTTCTTTGTCCTTGCGCAACACGAGAATGCAAAGAGGTGTCAGTCTGTTAGTTATGGATCAGGTGCCTGTTTCCGAAGAAGAGAGACTTCGAGTCGAGGTTTTGGTCCCTCGAGGTTTGAAACCTGACGGTGATAGAATTCCTACGGGCTTGAACTTGGATGATGAGATGCTTCAAGGAGGTCGGGAGCGGGAAAGAGATAGAGATAGGGAGAGAACTTCTAGTAGTGGGGGCGAGCTTGTTCGTCGAAGCAAGAAATCAGATGCATGGGGAACGGCCGATGCAGAATTGAAGAAGAGTGGAGAAGTTCTTTGGAATGTGAGGCTGGCACCGGGAGCAGGTGTTAAATTGGTGTTGCAATATGAGGCTGGATTTCCAAGTGGAGAGACGGTGGTTAATGCATAGGTGCCGGAACATGGTTGTGTTATGTTAGATAAGGCGGGAAGCTTGTTATGATAGGATATAGCAATAGTTTATGTTGGTAGCAATTTGACAAACAAATTTCTCTAGACATGCAGTTTTCAAGGACACTCCGCCTCTCCGTCCAACGCTCGTAGAATGCCCCGGCTAATAGTGCAGGACAGAGTCTTGAATCAAGCCATCAAAACAACTTGGCGAAACAAAACAACATAGAAACAAATATGGTTTTACCACTAATAGTAAAGTTACAAGATCTCGGATACGTTTACAACCGAGAAAAACATCTATGTTACAAATGGAGAACGAACTGACCTTCTAATGGCCAATAGCTGATCCTTGACGGCCAGTCTTTTCTGTGTGTGGCAAAGCCCAAAGCTCAATACTTGTGCCGTACTTCGATGTTACATGCTACAGTATTTACATATCGAGGCAACAGCGACATGATTGGTCCAATTCATACTTCTATCCCAACGACAGCTTGAAAAACTCCCACTCTAATGTAAGATGCATCGTACATCAAAAGACAGCTTTCGATTTTAATAGGTATGACTGAAGAACCAATGATGATTTTGGTCCTTCGACATTGTCTTCCGGTGGGCAAGTATCAACTCGCATACCCGCGATATCCCGAAGAGTTTTCACATTGCCGGGAAAGCTTAGTATACGGCTATCAGTCGAAACAGATATAGTTTTTGAGGGATCGAGGCAAATTTCAAGAATTCAATGAACACAAAGGTAGGATCTATATTGTCTCTACCGTGTGGAAATAAGTAAGATCCACAGTATCCGTGAAGATAAAGCTAGTCAAGAATAAAGGTGTTCAAACATCGACGTAAAATGAATACTTGATTTCAATAGAGTAAAGAGATTGGGTTGCATTGTTGCGAACACAAGACGAATTCTAGGTTGGTGAAATGGTCGTTGACAGGAATTCAGAAAACTTTCTACTCATCATTGAGATTTCCGTCATAGAAAATGCTAGGCTTCTACAGCCCCAAAGAAATCTTCATGGTCAAAGAAACTGGAAGTCGTTCATGGAATCCGAGCACGCCATTTCTCTCCGAATCCCAAAACTAGACCCCTCGACATATGATCCGACTATAATGGGACCCGGGTAAATAATAAAATTCAGTG